AAGTTTTAGCTTTTATTCTTTTATTGCTTTTGTTTTTTTAAGGATCGACAGCAGCACAGCACAGATTTATGAATAGGAACCCTGAACCACCGGGATTGTGAACTGTAAGTATTTTATACACATTGTTTTGTAACGACGAGTGCATACAATCCTGTTTAACAACAGATACAATGGCACAGAGCCTCATATGGAAGAGAGAAATGCAAGTACAAACAGAAAAGCCCATACAACTGAGACATCCTATATTTCCCCAGAAGACAGGCCAGTGCAGAGTTCCAATTTGTAACATGCAAATGCTTAAATCAAATGTGCGAGCAGGGGCTGCTGCCTGCTGCATTTCTTACAGGAGCAGCCAAAAGGAACATAAGAAAAGGGGCGGGTGAAGAGACATTTACCGCTTATTTCACTGGCGCCAGCTTGTATCTTTTCTGTAACTAATTCCCTTTAACTCTTCACAGGGCAATGTTATGTAAAACATTTAAGCAAGATTTTTTCCTGCCTTTCAAGAGCAAGCATCAAAGCCTAGTAAGCCACGTACTGCAGAATATATTTAAAGCTCAACAGTACTAACCAATGGAGTCACTGAAACTGAACTCTGGAGGAGGAGCTCTTTTACATGCAGAGGCTGGGTTTCTATTTTCTGGCACAGATTATACCAGCTTACAGAAAGGCAGCATTTTATAAATCTTTACATACATAGCCAGCAGCTTTTGTCAGTGAGGTTCAATTATAGATTAAAAACAATTTCTGTGATAGAAAAGAAATAAGGCACTAATGAAGGTGGCTTTATGACAAATCAAGTTTTTCTAACTGTTTTTATTCATTCATTTGATCTCAGTACTGGAATTTTGCAACAGGAATTGGCTCCGTCTCTTTCAAAACATAAAGGGCCTAATCCCTTCCCATTAGAGAACAGGAAGTCAGAAGCCAATCTTAGAAGTTATTTAAAAAAAGAATCTGGATTGTTATTTTAACTTCTTTGTTGCACACAAGCTAGAGAATTTTTTTCTTCCACTACCATTTCAGCATGATAGCTCAATTAAAAGCTGATGTCTCCTCTAAGTGGTACATGTTTAGTACAAGACACCTTTTGCTTACTACAGAGCAGCAATTAAACTAGTTTCTTCCCATCACTATGTATGGCATTCAGAACATGTGCTGCACAAATCCTTATTTATGTGCCACTGTGCTGTCCTGCTTTGGACAGTCTAACAATGACGATTCTAGCTTAAAGACTTTTTACAACTGCTCTAGGGGCATTCAAATAAAATCGGTTCTAGTGGGAACAGGCAGTATTTTGTATTTTGATTTCTGTTCATGCACACTTGAAAACTGCATACTGTTCCTGTCAGCAGTGTTGGATGTGTGCCTGCTGGATCCCACCAGCCCAAGCTCCCACTTGTCCCCCAGCCTTCCCTAATGCACACATATATTTTTACTCCCATGTGCAGTGTTCAAGCCCCAAGCACTCTCATCTGCTCCTCCAAACCAGGGGCACTGTTTGATGGCCAAGCACAGTACTGCCGACTTTCTCAAACTCTTCCACTATACGCCAGACTCAGCAAATGGCAAAAAACTCTCACTTAACTTTGAGAATTGTGCAGGTTCTCTCAAAGAAGCTGGCAAGTGAGGGCTAAAACTGTGGGTAGCTGAAATCTTGATGTCTGGGCCTACTGCATCCCCTTACTTGAATCTTCCCGGTTTTAAGTGTTATCTTGCTCAACACAGAAGCAGTGTGACCCCTCTGGTGCTCCCAAACCACTTAGTGAATCAGCCCAAATCAGAATGGAACTGGATGAACGTCAAGAACAGTTGCAGGTAAAATAAACTGAACATGCTGAACATTAAGGTACATCACATTTATTTTTATTTTCCCTAATATAAAAAAAAATGGCTGGTAGCATTCAGCACTTGAAAATTAATGAGTTTTAAATATGAACATAGTACACCCCCAGTTTTGAAATACTCTGTTCTATTTTCTCTCTTCTCATCTTTGCCATCTGCTATGTTTTAGAAATAATTTAACAAATATTTTTCTTCAAGGCTGTCAGAAAAATCTCATCTCATTTTGGGAAAACTAAACATTATCTTGTGATGTAAATTAGGACACAAGGAAGCATGACATATACATGATCATACATTGTCAGTGGCAAAGACAGTAACAGAAATCCCAATATGTGCTTCTCTGGAGTCTTCAAGAAAAGAAACTGGTAATATATAGCAAATAGTGAAGCTGAAACCGACATCAAGTTACGTTTGAAGGATGAACTGCAGAAGTTCAAAAATGCAAAGTCTCAATATAGGAAAGATTTATTTTCCAATTATTTATCTTTATTAAGATTTATTTATGAAAATTCAGATGCAGCTACCTGTCTTCTACATTAGCAAAACTTTAACTCTACATAGCTCCTTAGTCCTTCTGAGCTTTCTTCTCTCAGAGAATCAATTTGCTATCTATCTATGGAGACTGCAGCCAGAAGTCCATGTACATGTGCACACAGAACTGTTAAGTACAGGTTTCTTTCCTAGACTCTTTAGTCAGTAGAACTTATCAATAACTTTTACTCATTACTGAACGCAGACGAACTAACAAAGTAACACACAGAATACTTCACATCCCAGTATGAGTTTCCCAGTTCAATTTGTCAAAATGTACCCCAGGTGTCCAGAAAAACCATTAGCCAGCACTTCAGCCAAGACAAGACAGCAAACCCCACCTCAGATAAGCAGCTGCTGTTCTAGAGATTACAATGTTATCGGAGAGAAAAAGATAATAAAAAGCCTCCCCAAAAAAATTCTAATAAATGTGCACCTTGTTCTCCATACCATCAGCATAAGTTTTTTGGAGGTTATGATTTTATAAGCCTTTCCCTGCAACTATACTAGGGTTAAAAATTACTCTAAGAATAAATATTTGTCAAGATTCTCAGCCGATGATACTGACAGAAAATCTCTGGCTTTAAGAAAATACCAGATATCACAAAATGCACGACAAAACATCAAAAGTTGTCAATATTCAGTTTTCTTCCACTGGAAAAGGTACTAGTGATTTTCTTTTTTTAAACTACACATGCTGAAGTTTTCTAGAATAGATTTCCTGTCCTTTCTCTAAGATTGCTGAACCCCATTCAGCCAGGGCACAGATAACATCTTTGGATAAAAGATCTGAAATCACAGTTTCTCCCATAAGAAGTTCAAGCTTTACAGAAGAAAAGCTTTTCTTCCACAGAGCCACAAACTTCGCAAGTTATTTCCTCTGTTCTTTTCCCTCGGGAGGTGTTATATTCCTATAACCTGTCAGACTTACTCAGTCATATTAGTAATTTATATTTAGTGTAAGATCATGTCTTTTCAGACCACCTTTGGATATTCCTAACACAAAGAGTGAATTCTGATTACTTGCTTTTCTCCCACAGATTACACACCTTTCCCAGTGTTACTGTGCACTGGAATGCTATATGAAACAACTTTCTGAACATCTGAAAAACACAGCCAAAAATACAAGAGACAAACATTGCAGGATTTTGCTGCACCTTGAAATATAAGTGCAAAACAATGAGAATGAGATTTCCCTTACATTTAAAATAAACTTCCAGCTTTGATATATTTTCCAGACTGGGCATCTGCTGCAGATTTACCATGTTTGGAAAGTTTGAGGGAACAAACCCAAGCCAATTCAGATAATGAAATTAAGAAAAGAATGTGTTGTTTAGCTCTTTTGAAAAGCTCTGATGCCTTCATAAGTTACAGCAGAATTTCTAAATTGGAAGTAAACTGCCCTCATATCAGAGACATCTTTTCCCATTCCTATTTGGCCAAATTGCAACTCTTTGCCAAGTCTATATAGGCTGTGGTTTTCTAAAGATTCACTAGAGTTTGACAGCTGAAGATGAAATCAGTATGCACCATCTCCTGTCCACACTACTGTTAACCAGACTGAAAATTCATTATTCTCTTTAAGCAGTTAAAGTTTGTCCTGGATCTGCAGAAACTGAACCAGAGTTTTTCTACAACTGAAGCTTCCAGAAGTTGTCATGACACCAGACAAAAATTTGAAGCAGTTCAACTGTACACACATGATCACCAATACCTGGGTATTATTGTCTACCCTTATTATGCATACTTGCACAGAAGCCTCTTGGAAGAAAATAAGGAGGGAAACACAGAACAGAAAGCAGGGAGATAGCTGAGACTAGAATATGGATCCTAATAGAGATACGCTACGACTGAAAACATGATAGATTCACATCAAGATGGAGAGGGAGGAGATGAAAGGAGGAGTTCAGAAAAGGCTAACTGGAGATTGTGACGAATTGCTGGGGAAACAACAGGTTTAGGGAATGACCTGAGGGTTTAGTGAAGGAAAACAGAGTATAAAGGTATGCGGTATGGTATGAAGACATTCTTGGAACACAACAGGGACAGAAGGGTTGAAGCCTATGTAAAGCTTCCTCGAGTCCACATCAGATCTCTTTATCCCTGACCCTCAACATTCTTCTATCAGCAAATGTCACTAAAACTCACTCAAAGATTCTCATCCCCCTCTAGTGCTCATTCATGAACGACCCTATAAAGTAATTTGGACATAACTGATGTAAAAATAGACTAAATAGAAAGAACAATCTATGCTTATGTCTTTCACTGCAAGATGATGTATAACAAGCTTCCTATTTGCATATACATATACAGAAAAAAATCCTTTCGTCCAGAAGCAAAAAGTAGAGATCTTCAAAAATTACTGCTAGAACTGTTCAGTGCCTAAGCAGGAACTCTTAAAAAAAACCAACATAACTATTGAAAAATTTAAAAAATGTAAAAGAAATCCCTTTACAGAAGCAAACTGTAGCCTGTTCTTCTTCATCACTTAAAATCAATAATTAAATATGCTGTAAGGCCACATTTGATACAGAAAGGGTATTCAACGTCACTTTCCCATCTGCTAGAGAAGGAACATTAAAAATACTCACATTTTTAAATGATGAGATAGCTGCACACCAAAATTATCTGAAAGCAGCACTAAGAAAGGTGCCATGGCTCTTCTCTGCTTCAAGCACTTGTTCTTCTAGGAAGGAAACATGGTGCGCAACCATTTTAACAAATGCCTATGGAGAGAGGAAAAAACACCTAATGAAAATTAAAAGGACCTGTGCTAGGTCTCAACATTATTCTAGCTATAGATCAGGAGTCAAAGAAAAAGCTTTAACAAGATTTCAGAGCGCACTATTGCTAATACAAATATCCAAGGGGCACATACACTATATTAAGTAGACTACAGATGTTTACAGCCATGAGAACCACTACTGGTGATGACCTCAGGCTAATTTTTCTCCTTACCTAAGGGCAGACTTTTGATCCCTTTTCAGCATACAGAGTGGGTAAGCACTTGCACTGGCAACATTGTAGCAGTGAGATGAAAGACAGGGCTATTACTGGTGGGAGGAAGAAAGTGGCCAAGTGGTAGGAGGGAGGAGGCAGTAGAGGAAAAGATAAGGACGGGTGATTTTAGCTAAAAAAGGAATTATTGACCTAAAACATATGCATGTTCAGTTTCATTTGAAATCTGAGCTATAAGGGAAAGCCAACAAGAAAGAACAAGGTATTTATTTGTTCAACTACAGAACAGTTTGTTAAGTTTGGATAGTCTCTATTAAAAACTTTTTTTTTTTTAAGAAGTTGGGCAATGCTCATTTTAGGCATAGGGAAACTGAGGCTGAACAGGTAAATTAATTACCCAAAATGCGCCAGTGGCAACATCAAAATTAAAACCCAACAAATTCTCATCCTGTATAACCATTACACAATGGTCTTTTCCTTTTCTACTCTTTGGAGTACAATTTAATTTCTTCCTTGAAAATCCCCATGGATGCTAAGCTTTAAATTTAAAAGTTCTAATTAAAACATTAACTACTGCTCAAATTGCCAATTTCATCTTGTGCTCTCAGATTACTGCCATTACAGCTGGTAATGTTAGGGAGAAAAACTGATTCCTAGCCAATCAAGGTACTATCCTTCCATGATAATCACAAAAGCCTCTCAACAAAATTCTGCTGCATTATTCAGGGACACAAAGACTGGTGTTTTCCTCATATTCCAAATTACTATATCCTTACAGCTGTACTAAAGGGATGGGGTCAGGAAGGGTTGGGGTTTTTTTCCCTTCCCTGTATTAGAGGTAAAAAAAAGTACTACGAAGCCCTGTTGCTTACCATACTTTTGGCACAAGTAATTTCTTAGAGTTTTAATTTTATTTCTCTGTTCAAAGACAAAACAACCTCCCCCACTCCTCCCAAAATTCCAACCATCTATAAGCATGGAATTTGTGAAGAGAGCTAAACAGGTGAGACACTTCCAGAAAACAGTTGGTTTGGAACCCGATTCAGCCATTTTTTCACAGTCCTGGCTTAAGTATACATTAAAGTATGGCCAAATTACCAAGTATACTGAGAACCCACTAGCTATTTCTTGGACTGGAGTACTGAGTTCTGAAAATTTGATGGATTTCTAAACAGGTTAACAGTTGACACCCACTTTTGATCTAAAACACGTAACCTCCATTTCCTGTCTGAAGCTTTCTTGTGGTGCTGTGCAAGTCCATAAAATAGGAAGTGGTTTGGTAAACCTGTTATCAAATGTAGGGGTAAAAATGCAAACTAAATTAATTGAATTTAAAGAAAACTTGCTGAAAGCTGAGTCAACTGCTCTGCCCCTCCCAGCGTAATAAACATTACCAGAGGATATTACTATGTACAGATGTAGAGCCTGAAGCTTAAGCACTACCTATCTGGATTTAATGCCACAAACATTGGTTTCTTTCACTTTGAGTCAGTTAAAACTGATTTTAAACATTATACAACTTATCTCATCATGTTTTCATTATATTCCTCTAAGCAGCAAACTTACCCTCAGTTGACAGAAACTTTAAAATGCTGCTTACTAAATACAGTGAGGGTATCATCTCCATGAGTCATACTGGCTTCCTTCATTCAGGATTCAATAAACACCAAAACAGACACAACAGAAGATGGGAGCTCAGAGATCTCTACACTACTACAAAAAAGATCATCAACAACTTAAAATCGGTATGACCAGCACTGGATGCACGACTTGAATTTTTGAAATTATAACTAGTTTCATAGATAATCTTTCATGTCACAAACCAAATTAACATTACTATATACTTCAAAACCACAACTAATGCTTTTAATCTACCATTAGGAATTGTAGAACCCACAGCAATAAATGACTCAGTGATGTTCCAAAATCATAAACACATGTGCTGAACCATGGGTAAACATACTGATCTGAAAACAGACATAAGACAATAGAGAGCCATAAACATCTGAGTGCTCCCTATAAAGATCTGGACAGTTAACCTATAAAATACATAAAAAGACGTAGGTAAATTTTCTAATGTAATGAACAAACCTCTAATTTATCAACTTTGGCATAGATGTGGTTCACTTCCATCACCTTGTCTTTAATGAGCGGAATGGTCTCATCCAGGATCTCTGATGTATCACTTCTAATCTGCATGGAGAAAAGTATCTCACATGAGGATGAATCTTGAAGTAATCCATGAGACAAGAAAAAACCACAATAGTATATGATAAGGCCTCCACATCAAAACTGTAACCAGACCCTTCCCTTTTCTCCTCAAATTTCCACACTACTCCTCCCAAGAGACCATTTACTTTCTATTATGAAATACTGTAGATATGAGGGATAATAATGGATTTTAAATGAAAACTGCCTCTATACCATCCTTATGATTTGATTTTGCTGGAGAAGAGCTAACTCATACTACTTATCAATCCGTTTTTGGAAAAAGTCAGATCTTTGAGTACACCACTTGTACTTATCTTGCCTTTAGCAGGGGCTCAGGTCATAGGACATTATAGCACAGGCACCTCAGAGAAAGCTGCTGCTCCCCAGTCCCTGTCAAGTTTCCACAATGGTTAAGTGCCCTAATACAGGAAAGATTTTTTTTGTTACCTACTACAACAAGGATTGTTTCTGATATCTACAAGGGCCTGAACCTCATCTGAAATCCTGCTGAGTGTTGTGTTAGCAAGAGTTACCCCATTTCCTATATAAACAACTGCCAGTGCTTTGCTGGTGGCAATAAGATACACCTCCATGCAGAGCACTGTAGGTAATGGAACACACAAGCCAAAAACAGTGGATAAGACAAGAACTGGGAAGAGCTCTCTGAAGGGAAAGATAAAAGCAAAACCAAGAAAACCTCCACTAAAACACCCAAGTAGGCATTTTAATTTGTAAAACAGAGTAGCAACACATTGACAAGAGAAATGAGAGGCAATTGAGCCCACTTCTATACAAGTCTTCTTTCTCAACTACAATGGAGTATAGGAGGTCTTGGTTCACTTCTAGATTAAAGCTGTACTGGCAACGATTTTAATAATTTAAAGAACAGACAGGAATGAGGATCCCCCTTCAAAGATATCTTTTGTCCCAAAGACTGAGCTAGGAGATATTCTTCCTTCAACTTCATAGGAAAGAGTATGGATCTTTTAGCTAGAATGGTGAGAATCTGGAGCCGGGCTAATAGTGCAGGGAATTTTCTGGGGATTTTGATATTTAATCCAGAGTCTTGAAGCATCAATGCCTGGTAGAAGTAATTTAATCCGTGGACCATGCATTATAAACTCTAATAGGTACTTAGACATTTTACTGATGATCACATGACTCATTTGTGTGTTTGTTTTTTCTTTAAGAAGTTGTGTTTTTAAAAGCTGAGTACAGGCAAAGCTATATACATATAAAATTCCTCATAGTAAGATTTTATGGTATTTTTATTACCAGAATGAGTACATGCAGATCAAGTGCTTTTATAGTGCACTTCAGTAATGCATGTTCAGTAACAGAAGATCAAACAGACATATCAAAATAGTAGTAGGTTTCTACTGTAAACAAACCAACAGTATTTGCTGTATTCCTCCTCTCAGCACTACATCCACCAATTATGCATATAGACACCTCCCCCAGCAGCGCCATAACTGCACAGGCACACTCTGTTACCTTTACAGTAGGTACTTTATATCCAACAGAAAGTGAGCACAGACACTCTGGCAGGATCCCTGTGAATGGAATCAGACTTCTATTTTCTAATGTTAATTAAAAATATAGAATGAATATATAATGAAGAAGATGAAGCAGAGGAATTCCAGGTTTGTTCTGTTGAATTATTTCAGCTAAGTGGTAGGCAAAAAATCCTCCTCTAAGATACGGCACATGTGACAAATAGATTGGTGATCTGTCTGAGCTGAGGTTCATACTCAGATAAACCACATCGGATTAAAAATTGAGCCTGGACCTTGCAAAGATAAGGTAAGAAACTTGTTTGCTAATGTTGGTCTCAGAAAGGACTAGGGTTAAACCATCCTTGCAGCTGAATGCTAGATAACTGCTGTAAATACAAACACAGTTTGGGATATAGCCAGAAAGAGGAAGATGTACACATGCAGTACAAAAAATATCAACACCAGGTCAGAGCAGACATGGAACAAATCTAAACCATCTTTCTTTGAGAGTAAAAGCAAACAACCAATACAAGACACAGGAGAGCTGATTTTCCAGCAAGCAGGCAGTGATGAAAGGAAATTATATGCAAATATGATTCAAGAAGAGTCATTCTGCAGCAGTCTGCAGAACCACAGCGACAGAGGAGTTCAAGAGGAGTCAGCACATGACAAAGGGAAATTATTCTCTTGGTACAGCAACCTCTCATGAGCCAGAGAAAGCAGGACTGGTCTGAAACCCCACATTATAAAACAAGATTCATTTTCCCTTGTGCAATGTATTTTACTTTATCTTACTGAAGATTTAGCCAAGTGCTTGGCACAAGCACCAGAGCACAGCAATCCATGGGAAAATACCTGTATTACTCTTACTAGGTTTTACTATGCTAATTGGAGGAGGGAATGTTTGATTCAGCTTCATTTCAAGTCAGCAAGACTAAGCTCAAGGAGGGAGCAAACCAACAGCACCAAAGTCAGTGAGGAAACAGCACAACCAGAGTATGAATGATGAATTAGAACACAAACCAGGAATGGCACATTGCATGTAGGGCAGTGAGTCCTGATCCTTTTATATACTGAAGCTGTACCAGTTAAACAAGGACAGATTCTTGTTATTTTATATTTTATAAAAACTATTTTTTTCCAGGAAAATAAAAAATAAGGTAGCTCAAGCCACAAGTCAAAGATACTGTGCAAATTCTAGTTGTCATGAAGACTTTTTTGAAAGGATCTCTCTATATATTTTTTCAGTCTTTGATCCCATATGTTTACACAGGATAACTTGTGTTAGGATAAAAGGATCATAAGTAAAACTAACCACTGTAAACTGAACAGCTCAGTGGTGAGAAAAGAGAAAACTTCGGTTGGTATGCTCCTGAGAAGTTAACAAACCTTAGCGATAGAGAACCAAACAAAACCACCTCTTCCTCTCTTTTCCCCAGTGATGAAACCAGGTTTCACACCCAGAGCCTCAGGGAGGAGCTTCCCAAACTGTAAGTCCTTGCAACAAAGATTAGCAGTTAGCAGCTGGTCTGGGAAACCATAACAAAGCAAGATTTACAAGCACATCATTTCCCTGGGGCAAGTTCTGCAAGAACGTTCAATAACTTGAGAACCACTAACCTGTGGTTTTATAATTTGGTGAGTATGCTGGAGGATCAACATACATATTTAAAAAAAAAAAGGAAAAAAAAAGAGGAGTATCAAACATAAGTAGATATTTTGCATCTATCCTTACATCCTTGTCAAGGATCAGAAGCCAAGGAAGTGGAAGTAGTTAATTCTTACATGTAACTAAACCAGCTGTGCATCTCTGAATAGATATAATTTTCAATCATGCTTTAAGATATACTAGAAGCACAAAGAATCGTATCTAAAACAGCAACCAATGATATAAGAACAGTGTATACAAGAGTCTGGTTATTACAATGATTTTTTTTCTTTTGTGTCACTGGTTCAAATCATAGCTCAGTTAAAAATCACAATTTTATAATTATACTTGAGAGGTTCTGAAGCCACTTAAAAGACATTAATTTACTTTGTTGAAGTCAGTGCCCTAAAGAAGACATCACAAAAAGTTAAATAACTGGCACTAAAATTCTTCTAGCACAATCTTTACATTGCAAGATGTTCCTTCCATGGCAAGTGTGAGGCACACTGAACTGTATTCAGATTGTCACTGTAACTTACTTCCTGTAACAAGTGTCCATTTTAAGTGCTGTGCCTAGCCAGGTACAACTCTATGACACTGGAAATAGCATTTTGTCTTTCTAGCACTGAGGATCAATGTTTTTTTCTCATTGCAATATTCAAATATATGCACGAAGAGTACTTGGAAGTGAAGCACAGCAGCATGCTCAAAGGAGAAAAGTCAAATGCGAATACTTTACTGAATGCCTGATTGAAAAAAGCAAGACTCCCCTTGTCTTTTATTGGCATAGAGAAAAGACCAAATTATGGCTAGGTACAGAAGCTGGAATCAGTTCAAATACTACATTATGTTTATCAGATTCCCAGATAACCACTTGATGTGCTGCTGAAAGAAACCTTACATTGTAGGTAGTGGATAGAAAGGCACAGAATCAGCAAACTGACTGCAGTGCTTTGATGTTCCCAGATAAGGCCAATAATCTGCATACTAGGGAATTATTCACAGCCTGCAAGTCACAGAAAAATGTTTTCAGGACCAATGTGAAGATAGTGTATTGAAACTAGGTTAGTGGTTTTTGTAGAAAAGTTTGGCAAGAGAAGAAGTCTCACAGGAGGTTTAAAAGCTCACTAGATCCATCTGAACAAGCTAACCAAAAAAAGAGGCTGAAGTGTAAGGCACATGTCTGATTGATGGGAATAAACATAAGATACAATTATCTTAGCATACGCTCCCAAACACAAGAATTGAGTGAATGAACTGAAAAGTAAATCAGACAGAATACAACCAGCAGTGAAAAGCTCCTGATTCAAACCACTCACTTTGAGCAGGTGATGTCGTATCACTGAAGCAATCATCACCTTTCAGGAATGAACTTGAAGGATTTTTGGCTCAAGAAACCAATCTCTTGTATTCTACATTTTGAACAGACTAAATGTGCCATACTAGAGAATCTAAAGCTGATAAATGTAAGCCAGGATGTATCAAAAAAATAGACTGCACGCTCTGGGTTCACATGCTCCTTTACAGATATTTTTGTCAAAAGCTGAATGGAAAAAGAACTGCTTAAACAGCCACTAATACTGAACCTTACTTACAAGGCAGCTATTTCTCCTTTTAAGTTCCCTACTAATCATGTGAGACTTTGATAAGCCAAGCTTTTGTTTCCTTCCATTCTACATCACTTCCTCCTGGAATCAATGATGCCTCCTTTCCATGAGCAAGACATGCCAACAGCAGAATCAGAGATCTCTGTTAGAAGTAGAAAAAGGATTCATAACTGGCTAAATTGCCAACTGATTTGTCTAGAACAAGGATGATGCCCTCACTTCTCTTGAGCA